CAGGGGACAAGGAAGGGGGGTTGGATGGGTCGGGAGTTCTGGGGGTCCTGTCAGGGGGCGGGGAGCAGTTGGATAAGGCATGGGAGTCCCGGGGGGGTCTGTCTGGGGGTGGGGGTGTGAATATGGGGTGGGAGTGTGGATAAGGGTTGGGGCAGTCAGGGGAGAGGTAGGGTCGTAGGGGGGCAGTGAGGGTGGGGGGTTCTCAGGAGGGGGCAGTCAGGGGACAAGAAGCAGGGCAGCTTAGATAGGGGGTGGGATCCTAAGGGGCAGTTAGTGTTAGGGGTCCCAGGAGGGGGCAGTCAGGGGACAAGGAGCGGGGGGGGGTTGGGGTTTCTGAGGGGAGCAATCAGGGGGTGGGAAGTGCGAGGGAGTGGATGGGGGCGGGGCAGGGGTGGGGCTCCTCCCCCCGGTGTCCTCTTTTTTGCTTGTGGAAATATGGTAACCCTATTCTAATGCATAGCAGCAACTGGAGGAGGAGGCAGTAACAGAATGTGAGAGAGGGCCCAGTATTGGCCCCAGGCTCCTCATCCCAGCTATTCTCCAGACAGCACCCATCCACCTAGCTCACTATTCCCCCATTTACCCAGCACAGCCAGAAATCTTAGCACCCACCTTCTATCCCAGATCATCCTGCCCCAGTTAAGTCTATTTACTTATTTTTAATGTACAGCCTGGGTTATACTAATATAAATGTTTTCTTCTATAGCCTGCAAAGAAATGACAGCTGACATCATGTTTCTAGTGGACAGTTCTGGAAGCATAGAACAAGAGAACTTTTTGAAAATGAAAAACTTTATGAGAGAACTGGTGAACAAATCTGACATCAGCACAGACCGAGTGCAGGTTGGGGTCGTCCAGTTCAGTGGCACACAACACGAAGAGTTCCAGCTTGACCGATACTCTTCAAAAAGTGACATTTTCAGTGCTATTGATAATATGTCTCTTATAGGGGAAAATACACTAACAGGAGGCGCTTTGACATTTGTAGGTGATTATTTCAAGCCTCCCAAAGGTGCACGTCCGACTGTCAAAAAGATTCTTATCCTGATTACAGATGGGGAAGCGCAGGATGAAGTAAAAGTTCCAGCAAAAACCCTACGTGATCAAGATGTTATTATCTACTCTGTTGGGGTGTTTAATGCAAATAAAACTCAGCTGGAAGAGATTAGTGGGAAGTGTGAGCTGGTTTTTTACATTGAGAAATTTGATACTCTGAAGCACATAGAAGATGAGATCATCTTTGGAATATGCACACTTCATGAGGGTAAGCACTGCCGTTTTCAATAACTCATGTCAATCTGTGTCTGTGTAGGAATTTTGCTCTGTCCAGATAGTTGAGTATTGTAATAAAGTAAATAAACAGGCATGCTTTCTACTTGCAATGTCATCTTCTTTTGGAGATGCCTACAGGGATGAGAAGTGTGCGAGAAAATGAAGGTAGAATTTGGCTCACGGTACCAGGAGGCCTGTCCTACTAGTTTTAAAAGATGCTATATTCTCTCAAATGGGTGTAAGAAAAGACTAAGAATCTGATTCTCACTTCTACTAAGGCTCCTTTGTGGTGTTCTGGCAGTGTAAAACATCCTTGGGGACTGATTCTTGTTCACACTAATGGCCTCGTTCTGCCCTCATTTACAAGGGTGCAACTTCTGTTGAAGTCATAGAAATTGTACACCATGTAAATAAGGGCAGAAATGGGCTCTATGGGTTGTATTTACCTGATAGACTTTAGTAGTACTCATTTACACAGGAACCCTGAATGGCCTAGAAGATAGATAGGTGCATGCGCACAGACACACACACACACACAGCGAGAGAGAGAGAGTGAGAGAGAGTCTGGCCTCCATCCGTGTTGCCAGCAATACAGCACCAGAAACTAGTTTTGTTGGAACCGTATTTACAAGTTTCAGTTTGGGTTCCAGATGTGGTTCAAACCCAATGTAGCCAAGTCTTTTAAGAAAATGTGTTGACAGAAGCATTTAAATAAGTGCAAAAGAGGCATAAAACTGTGTACAGATAGATGAAAATGGTAGTGACCACATGCTACTCATGTTTGGGGGGTCCCAGTCCAGGACTGTGTGAAATGAACTCTCACAGGAACTAAGGTCTGTCACAAACCTCTCCACCTTCCACTCCAAGTGCAAGGTGTTTTCCTTTGACCTTGCCTTCTCTAACATAAATATATGGGGAGTGAAGGTGCCATTCAAAACAACTCACTAAACACACTTTTGCCCCTGGGGAGAGGATGAGAGAAAAAAACTCACTGCTCAGTACATGGTTGGAAGGCCCACAGGTATATTAAGGTGATGATTGCAGTATAAGAACCTATATAGAATAAAATAGAATGATAACCATCTGTGCAAACACTTCCCTGCAGAGGCTGCTATCCAAACATTGCACTTGCTGTTGCATAAGAACCTGAAAAATGGAATAGCCCAGGGCCAGGTCATGCCTGGCCCCATACATGGTTGCTCAATGGGGCTGGGGAGAGCACAAGGAGTCTCTCTCCTCTTTGCACATTGCATATTCCATTTCAGGGGTTTACAGGACTGAGTTCTGGGTCTCTCTTGCACTCACTAATCCAATTGTAGAAAACACATTTTTGCTGTTGCAAAGTGAGAACAGATCCAAACCTGCCCTGAAAGGTATATATTTTGTTCCTTGTTTAGGAGCTACAATGTCCTCCTTACTAAACTGTTAATTCAGTATTGACTTCCCATCTCCTCGTCATAAATGCTGATCTTTAGTTTAGGAGTAGTTTTAATGGGTTTCACAAAAGTCCCTTTCAGCCCTTTTTGGTCACTACAACAGAGGGCCTTGGGGGCTGTGCAGGGATGACAAGGCTTCAGTCTCCAAATTGAACATCTTTCTTACACAAAGAAGAAAAAATTGCAATAGATCCAAAGCAGAAAATAAATTCTGCTATCATTGATGCCTGGTGGGTCTTCATGCATTTCAGTGTGGTTGCATAGATGCAAATGGCAGCAGAATTTGGCTCATTTCCATTAGTAAACAGTACATAAAACTGTGTGTACTGTGTCTCTGTAGAACAAGGGTCACTGAAATTTGACATAACTCCAGAAATTAAAATACAAGCTTTTAATTGGTGTTTGTATTCTAATAGAATACAGATTCATAGAATTTTAAGGCCTGAAGAAGCCATTCTGATCATCTAGTCTGATCCCATTCTGTTGTGTTACTATTCGTTTCTTCACCCCACCCCCGTCCCTCTGGATTTTAGATTAATTTGAAACTCTCCGTTATTTTAGAATTAGTGGTTAGGCTCTTTTATTGTGTTACTGCCTCCAAAAAGTGATCCAAATTCACAAGCTTGTCTTGAATACAAGGGGGCTAGTAAGAAAGATTCAGTAAGAGTCTGTACTGACTTACCTGTTTGGGTTTTTTTGTTTTGTCATTTGTTCTTTTACAGAATGCAAAAGGATAGAAAGAGTAGATGTTGTGTTTGTGATAGATGAATCTGGGAGCATAAATTCCTCACAATACCAGACCATGAAAGACTTCATGATTGACTTAGTGAAAAAATCTGATGTTGCTCCAGATAGAGTTCAGTTTGGAGCTGTAAAATATTCTAAAGAACCGAAAACATTTTTCTACCTTAACCAGTACCCAACAAAATCCGAGATTGTTGAGGCTATCCAGAATGATAGCACTATAGGAGGTTCAACGTACACAGCCAAGGCAGTTGACTATTCGGAAGCTCTGTTTGCTCAGGAGCATGGCGGCCGCAAAAGTAAGGGAGTTCCACAGATTCTTATAGTGATAACAGACGGTGACTCCGATGATGCAAAACACCTCAATGACACAGCCAAGAGATTAAGAGACAAGGGAATTATTATCTATGCTGTTGGGATAAAAGGAGCAAAACCTGATGAGCTTTTGGCCATGGCTGGATCAAAAGACAAATATTACTATGTGGATACATTTGAAGGACTCAAAAACACATCTGTAGCAATATCAGAAAAAATATGTGGTGATTCAAAACCAGGTAAGTGTTTGTTTTACTAGTCTATACTGTTTAAACTTTCCTCATCATTTTATTTATAAATTGGCAAAGATGGGGAGACACATCTCTAAAATTTCAAAGCAACGTTTATGGCTTCATTTGTATATCTAGCTTCCTGTGTTGTTGTTGTTGTTGTTGTTTTTCTCTTTAGCAAGCCCAGCTATAGGCAAAAAGGGAAGTTGCTTAAAGCTTATCCTTGATCCTACAACTGAGGATTTTCATTGCTTAAATGGTTGATATTATTGTTAGTCTGTGCAGGTTCAAAACTTTCATAAAGGTAAAATTAGGGCACTAACCTTTCACTTCAAGAGGCCTGAGTTCAGGGTTCAGTTTGATTAGACTAGTTGTTGTAGGGATAGGCATTTATCTACATCATGAAAGCACCACATGATTTGGCCTGGTTGATGAGCTCTGCTGAGGAAATAGGTGAGAACAGGCAGATGGGGACTATTGCAAGTGGCAATCAAAATGCAGTGGCAATTATGAGGAAACTTACACCATGCAAACTGCACAATGGCATCCTGTAGTCCAGTGGTGGGCAACCTGCAGCCTCTCAGGGTAATCCGCTGGCAGGCCGCGAGACTGTGTGTTTACATTGATCGTCCACAGGGACAGCTGCCCGCAGCTCCCAGTGGCTGCAGTTCACCATTCCCGCCAATGGCAGATGCAGGACGCGGAGGCCAACACATCCCTGTGGCCCGTGGCTTTCTGCAGCTCCCATTGTTCGGGAACAGCGAACCACAGCCACTGGGAGCTGCAGATGGTCGATGTAAACAAACTGTCTCAAGGCCCACCAGCGAATTACCCTAACAGGCCACAGGTTGCCCACCAGTGCTCTAGTCCCATACAGCTACACATAGGTCTACACTTCCAAACCCCTGTGCTGTATAAAATGACACATTTGAATGACCAACTAGTCAGATTCATCCTCATTTGCCTGTCCATGTTCCTGTCTATTTGCCCACAGGCCATAGGAGGAATCACAGAGATCTTTGCACCCCAGAGTAGTCACTTGCAGAGACTGTAAAATGCTACTCCTACTAGAGAGGAAATCCAGTTTGGTAGGGTTTTATGCCCTCTTCATGCTTGTGTACTGGAGTGTGTAATGTGGAGAATCAGGCCCCACAATTTCTACTTTTCCTAATGCCCTTCTCTGTCCCTTGTTAAAAATTAGTACTTTAGGTGCACTTTCTAGGTTGCTGGTCTGTGCAGCTAGTTGAATGATTTGTTGCAAATAAATTGTCAGATTTGGTCCTTTTTAGTGTTTGAAACCGTTTTCAAATAAATCCAGATTTCTGGCACATACTCCTAAATGTAGGGTTACCATCCGTCCGTATTTCCCCGGACATGTCCGGCTTTTGCATCTCTAAATAGCCGTCCGGGAGGAATTGGTAACAAGGTTAAAATGTCCGGGGAGGTTTTCTCCCTCGCCTCCCTCCCTCCCTTCCATGCAGAGTGTGGCTGCTGATTGGGCGGCTAGGCCGATTGACCCACTCCCATTGGCCTCCAGCAGCCAGAGTCCTCCCCTGCTCCCCTCTCCCTCTCTCTGTAGTCCTGTGTAACACACAAACTGACCCACGTGGAGCCAGAATGGTAAGAGGAGTCACGGGGGGGGAGGGCAGTC